CAGGGCCACATGCCAGGATAAAGTCCAGTCTCAGCACTGGCACTGGCCACAGGGAAGTTCCAACCCGATGCAACCTGCTGCCAGCCCTTGCAGGGGTCCACACCGCCCTTGCCCTGCATCCTCAGGGGACACTCCAAACCCAGGCTGGCCAGCGCTGGTTCCAAGCCAGCCCAAAGCTGCTGTGACATTGGGTGAAGCTGTTTGTACAGCTGCGCACTGAACGGCTGAGCCAGCCCTGGGAAGGTGATGTTTGGAAAAGCACCAGCTTATCTGGGACTGGGTATGTGCAGATTGAGGCTCGGGGAAGACACGGCCCAGGGGCAGCCTGATGGGCAGGGGAGCCCGGGCAGGGGGATGCTGGCCGTGTATCCTGCCTCTAGTTTATTTTGTGAATGAAGGTTGGACTCCAATTAGTGGTAGAGACCATCCTGGGAGTCTGAAAGCCATTACCAGAGGCCCAACCCAGCCGTCTGGTGGTCACCGCCATGCCAGAGAAGGGGATGCCCCCAAGCTCGGGGATGGGGGGGGGGAATCCTGAGTGCCTGTGGCCGCAGAGGGGACAAAGTGCCCATGAAGGTGGCAGGAGCTGCCGCGGGGCGTCCGCCCCTCACAGGCACGGTCCGGGAGTCCCCCGTGTGTCCTCGGCATGCTTCCGTGAGTCCGACCCCCGCCCGCAGCCCCTCGCATCCCCCCTGCCGCCCCCCCGAGCCATGCTCGGATGGCACCGAAGGCAGCGCGGGGCCGCGCCGGGGTCCCGGCAGAGGTACGCGGAGGCGCGGGCGGAGAGCTCCCTCTCGAGGGCCCGGCCAGCACTGCCGGGCCCGGGCAGCGCCCCCGATACGGGGCCGTGGACCGGTCCGCGCAGGACTCGCGGCCGTGAAGCGGCCACGGTAGGGGATGGCAGAGGAGCAGCAACGAGCTGCCCCAAGGGGTGGTGAGAGCCGTCGGAGCTGCCGCGGCAGCCTCCGGCTCCTTCAGGTCACCCCCCTTTTCTTCCTGTCATTGGTCAGAGCCAGGTTTGGCTGCTTCGCTCCTGGAAGAAGCCAAAAACCAAGTGATGGGTCATAGCAGCTGAGGGGTGGCCCCCACACCAGAGCTTGCCCCTAAATCAATCGACGGTTGATTTAGCAGAAGATGAGAGTGACTCCCAATGTGGCTGAGACTCACCCAGCAGTAAGTGTGCGGCCTCCCATGGAGGCACCTCCAGCTGGCATCCTGTCTGCCCCAGAGCTAACAAACATCTCCTTTCAATCATCTGGGTACAGTATGTTGTGAATGCTGGGCACCTGGTCAGGCATTCTACAGGATGACCCAGAGAAGACATCTTACCCATGCATCATGTTGGCACGCACTGACGTTTCTTGTCCTGCTTCCCATGAGCAGAACTCAAACTTGATCTAACCAAGATGTTCCTCCACCTTCCCAGCCCGAGGTCCACACTCCTGTCCTCTGTCTCTGACCTTGCATCTTCTCCCTGGGCAAGGGGCAGCACAGGACAAGCACCCACGGGAGCAGTTGGGTGGCTGGAGCTAGACAGATGGAGCAGGACATGAAGGACCAGTGGTGGGTGCCCTCTTCCCCAGGGGATGGAAAGCTGCTCAGTGTCATGATGTCACTTTCACACATGGCGGGACAGGATTGTCCAGGTGGTGGCAGAGGAGCTCAGTCACCACTCAGCACCGGGTGAGGGTCGGAGCGTCTGGAGAAGACACAGATGGGAGCACAGAGGTGACAGCACAGCACCACGGAGCAGTGACCCTGCCCAGGACAGCAGTGACCCCCACCCATGACAGAGCAGCAGAACTTGAGCAGCAGTGGGGTGGGACAAGGCCAGACGACACTTCAGGCAGCAGGTGGTGGCCATGGCGCGCTCGGTGCCATAGTCACAAACACTCGATCATCCCCCAGGGCACTTGGTGATACCGCCACGGCACCAGCTCATTCCCTCGTGCACTCAATCCACCTTGGGACCCTTGGTGCTGCCTCCCCCAGGACACTCGGTGCTGTCACCCCCGGGGCACTGCTGCTGACCCCGCTTGGGGCACTTTGTGGACCTCCGGCGCACTTGGGGGCGGTGGCCAAAGGGCGCTGGGGGGCGTGGCAGGCGCGGGTACACGGAGCCAATAGAGCGCGGGGGGAGTATCCGGCACGGAAGAGGTTGCGGAGCCAATAGGGCGCGGCGGGCGGGGCAACGGAGCCAATGGTGTGCTGAGGGCGGGGTCAGGGCGGGGTCGGAGGGCCAATGGGGGTTGCGGGGCGTGCCACGCGCGCGGGATGCGACTGCCGGCGGCGGTGCGGGAGCGGGTGGCTGCGGTGCACGGCGGCGCGGGGCTGTCCGAGCGCTTGCGGTTGTACGACGGCTGGGCCGCCTGCTACGAGCAGGTACCGGGCCGGAGGGCCGGGAGGATGCTCCGCTTCCCTCCCCTCCCCGGCGCCTCTGACCGCCGTGTCCCGCAGGATGTGGCGGCTCTGGAGTACCGGGCACCGCACCTGGCCGCCGCTTCGCTCGCCTTCGCCTTCCCCGCGCCGCCCGCAGAGGCGCGACTGCTCGACGTGGCCTGTGGCACCGGGGTTGTAGCGCGGGAGGTACCGGCAGGAATGGGGATGGGGATGGGGATGGGGATGGGGGGGGGCAGTGCGGTGCGGCGATGGGAGATAACGGAGCCGTCTGTCACCGCAGCTCCACCGCCGCGGCTTCCGATGCCTGCACGGCGTGGACGGCAGCGCGGGGATGCTGGAGCGGGCGCGGAGCACGGGGCTCTACCAGGAGCTACGGCAGTGCGTCCTGGGCAGGGAGCCCCTGCCCGCGCCCGCAGGTAACGGGACCGCACCGGTGGGAACAGGATGCCCCGGAGGGCCCCCCCGGTGATCCACGCTTGTCCCCCCAGAGCACTACGACGCCGTGACCGTGGTGGGGGCCCTGGGCGAGGGGCAGGTGCCGAGCGCGGCCGTGCCAGAGCTGTTGCGTGTCACCAAGGCGGGTGAGGGGGTGTCCCCCATTGTCCTCTCCCGGCCGGGACCCCACGACAGGGACACGAGTCCCGGTGGATCCTGGTCCCCGGCTGGGCGCTGGCCCCCATGCGCAGCCAGGACGTGCAGCCAGGACGTGGCCTTGTCCCTGCGGCCGGGGACAGGCAGGGACTTGCAGTGGCACCCTGGCCCTGCCTGCTGGCAGGGGGACGCAGCAGGAGGCGGAGGTGGCACTGCTGGGCAGAGCGGCCTGGGCTCAGGCCTGGCGTCCCGCCTGCCCCCTGCCCGCAGGCCTGGCAGGGTCTCGCTGCCTCCCCGTGCTCCCCATTTCCGAGGGGAGCCATACCCAGCAGGGAACACCCGGCGCCAGCGTCATTCACCCGTCCCCTCTCTCTGCAGGAGGCTTTCTGTGCCTGACAACCAGGAGCAACCCCTCGAACCTGCGGTACAAGGCAGAGCTGGAGGCGGTGCTGGAGGAGCTGGAGAGGCAGGGAGCCTGGCAGAAGGTGCTGGCGCAGGAGGTGGAGCGCTGGGAGAAGGCCACCTCCGAGGAGGAGAGCACCCAGGGCACCGGCTACATCTCTGGGGTGGTCTATGTCTATCGGAAATGCCCCGTGCCCCCCCCCGAGGAGGGCTGAGAGCCAACGGCCTCTGGGCTAGGGGTGAGCACTTGGCCCCTTGTGAAACCCAGTCCTGGAGCAGGGCAGCTGCTGGGTTTGACAGCGGTTTTGGGGAGTCCCCACATCCCCTTCCCTGGCTCCTTCCCCCAGAGGTCTGGGCCCTGGGGACCTTGCCTGCTTTTCAGCATGGAGAGGGTCTCCCAGGCTCTGACATTCAGGTGCTGTCCCCAACACCCTGATGTCTCACAGACCCACCTGGATGTCCAGAACCAGCTCCAGTTCAGGATGTCTTCTCCCGCATGTCCACCTCTCAGCCCTCGTGGTCAAAATCTGGATCCTTCTTCATCTTACCCACCCCAGACCCCTGTGGTCTTTACCTGGGGACTGCTGGAGGAGGGCCCTGTGGTTTCCCATCCTTGTACCCCCAGGAGTTAATCCAGCACCCAGGAGAACTCCACACCCAGACAAGGAGCTGCTGTGCCAAGATGACACCCAGCCAGAGAACCTTTCAAAGTGCCACATCGGCCTTTCATCCTACAGCAGTTGCTTAAGTTTCTCATTTTCCTACAGCTTTGTAGTTAATGATCTGGGTGGGAAATCAGGCTGGAAGGGACTTGAGGAGCCGCCCAGCATCTCCTGCCCAGCCTGTTTCCCAAGCCCCTCACCATGCTGCCTCCACTCTTCCTCCTCCACTGCTCCCTTGGGAAGTTTTTTACCCAAATCTCTTGATGGGAGATTTCTTTTTTCCCTTGTCTGTTCCTCCAGACCTGTTCCTGCTCGTCTGGTTCCCATGGCCCTGGGGAACAGGTTACTTCCTTCCCCTCACAAGCTCTTGTGCCTGTATCTATCCCCATCTGCCACCCAGAGCATCCCAACCTCCCAAACTCATGCTGCCTGTGGCTCTTGTCATTCCTCCACATTGCCCCCCCCTCCCCCCCCAACCAAGTCTTGGGGTCCCCTTCACGGGTAGCTGCCTTGCTTCCCTCTCCCCCCTCTTTGTCCCCAGCACTGTCCCCTGGGCGTCTGGGTGTTGTGGCTGTCCCCATCCCTGCACTTGGCTGTTTAATAAACCCCTTGTCTGCCACTGCACATTGTTCCTGGAGCAATGGGGCTGTGGACCCTGTGGGGAGGGCAGCCAGGAGCCAGGGAGGCAGGGGTTGGCCTTTCCCGGGGGTCCCCTCCCAGTCTCTGGGGGCCGAAAGGATGGAGCTGTGGGAGCCTGGTGTCCCTCCATCCCCCTTTTGGCTCTCAGCACCCTCTCCCTGCCTCAGTTTCCCTGCTGGGAGCATGCAGGGAGCTCTCTGTCTGACTGGTGTCATGTCCTCCCGCATTGCGCCGCTTCAGAACCAGCCCAGGCAGCCTCAGTGGCACCAAGATGTTTATTGCCCGTGGAAAGCACAGCCCCTGCAAGCCAGGGTAGGGCACCCATGGGAAGGACTGTGCTGGGGGTGCAGCAGCATGGGGATGGGCAGGAGGAGGCAGATCATGGGCAGGGGTTGGGGTGTGTATGCAGGATGGGGATGGTGGTGCTGTCCCTTGGGCAGGTACCCAGGCACGGTGGCTCACACGTAGTCTTTCATGGCATAGCCCATTGGAGTGCAGGTTTTCACAGCTCTGTACTTCTTCTGGTAGGGGTCCTGCTGGGACGGGGGTCCTGTACAGCACAGGATGCCCCCACCAAAGAGCTGCAGGGCACTGGAAGCCCAGCCAATGTAGAGGGCAGCTCCCAACTCTCTCTTGAGGGCCTGAGGCACCATGGGGTTATAGAAGTTGCTGACAATGCTGTTGGCAGACCAGGAGACAGGGATGAGGAGCAGGATGCTGGCCAGGACAAAGGTGGCACCTGCCACCACAGAGATCTTGGTCTTGGTGCTCTTGTCATCCACACAGCGGGTGCAGTCCGCTCCTGAGATGGAGGTGAGGAAGGCAAAGAAGGCCACGAAGATGGAGGTGACCACCAAGGCGCGAGCCGCTTGCAGGTCAGAGGTGAGCTCCAGGAGGGAATCATAGCCCTTGCACTGCATCTGCCCCGTGCTTTCATACACGCAGTTCATCCACAGCCCTTCCCAGAAGACCTGGGCCACTACGATGTTGGAGCCGATGAAGGCCGTCACCTTCCACATGGGCAGTGCGCAAGCGAGGATGGAGCCGAGCCAGCCCAGCACAGCCAGCATCAGCCCAGCCAACTGCATCGTCACTGTTGCCATCAGCACCTGTGGGGACAGTCACAGCCGTCACTTGCACGGCCACAGTCAGGGGCTTCCCAAATAGAGGGGGTGTCCTGCTGGGTGCATCCTGTACCCATCTGCACGGGAACGGCTGAAGACCAGCATGAGGACGTGTGTGGCATGGGGGATTGATGGCAGGTCATGTTGACCTGCCTGGGGACACCGTGGCATGGGGGATTGATGGCAGGTCATGTTGACCTGCCTGGGGACACCATGGCATGGGGGATTGATGGCAGGTCATGTTGACCTGCCTGGGGACACCGTGGCATGGGGGATTGATGGCAGGTCATGTTGACCTGCCTGGGGACACCATGGCATGGGGGATTGATGGCAGGTCATGTTGACCTGCCTGGGGACACCGTGGCATGGGGGATTGATGGCAGGTCATGTTGACCTGCCTGGGGACACCGTGGCATGGGGGATTGATGGCAGGTCATGTTGACCTGCCTGGGGACACCTGTGGGGTGTGGGTGTTGTGTGGGGGTGGCATGGGGGATTGATGGCAGGTCATGTTGACCTGCCTGGGGACACCATGGCATGGGGGATTGATGGCAGGTCATGTTGACCTGCCTGGGGACACCGTGGCATGGGGGATTGATGGCAGGTCATGTTGACCTGCCTGGGGACACCGTGGCATGGGGGATTGATGGCAGGTCATGTTGACCTGCCTGGGGACACCGTGGCATGGGGAATTGCTGCAGGATGGCACGAGGACACCATGGGGTGTTGCTGCAGGTCAATATGGGGACACCTGTGGCAGTAAGCACCCAGGTCCTGAGGAGGCCGAGATGCAGGAGCCCCCATGTGTCATGGAGCCCATACAATATCCCCACAGCTCAGGGCAGCCCTTTGCCATTGCCCCATCCCCGACAGGACAAGTGCATGTCCGGTGTCAGGGACAGGATGGCTTACAGGGAGTGGAATGATGGGCTCATTGTGTCCATCCTGGCATGCTCTCACCCCATATCCTGCTATGCGCAGCCCCTGCCCTGCTCCACCACTGGTGCTTCAGCTTTCTTGGCCATGACAAGGACATGGTATATTACATAAAAATAGACATTATGAAGAAGCTCTTCCCTGGGAGGGTGCTGAGGCGCTGGCACAGGGTGCCCAGAGAAGCTGTGGCTGCCCCATCCCTGGCAGTGCTCAAGGCCAGGTTGGACACAGGGGCTTGGAGCAAGCTGCTCCAGTGGAAGGGGTCCCTGCCCATCACAGGGGTTGGAACTGGATGAGCTTTAAGGTCCCTTCTGACCCAAACCAGTTTGTGTTTGTATGACTCTATGAGCATCACGCTGAGGGCCACAGGCAGCCCCTGCCCTCACTGCAACACCGTCTGCTCCCTGTTCAGGGGCAGGTTTTGCTTTGCCCTTGGCAGCCACGCTGCAGCACCCTTTGGACCTGGGATTTCCTCTGTGGGGTGCTGGAAATGGGTCAGAGGTCAGGCCTGCCTCTCAGCCTGGCTGTGGTGCTCAGCACTTTCAGCGATACCTGAATCCTTTATACCAGGAGCAGCACCAAGAGCCCCAGGAAGAGGCTGCAGAGCCAAGGGTCATGCAGGCATCACCCCTGTAAGAGGGGTGGCCAGTACAGGAAGGGGGGATACACTGGACACAACAATAGCTCCAGCACAGTCACACACAGGCACCATGGACCCTGGCTCAGCCCAAATCCCGGTTCAGTCCCACATGGAGCGGAGCCCAGTGCTGCCATGGGGCAAAGTGCACCCTGCGCCCATGGGTGCTCGCGCCCGCTCCTGGCAGCTGCAGCCAGCGGAGTTTTTATGAGCCCCAAGCATCAGTGGGGTATCGGCTGAGCCTGGCACACCCTGCGGCACACATGGCAGGTTTCACCCTCCTTTCCCTGATCCCAGCTTCGGTTTCTCCCATGTCTCCTTCCTTATTGCAGCACCGCTCCTTCCCCAGTGCCTTCCATCCCTTGGCATCCTGATGGATACCCAGTATTGGGACTGTCTCTGCTGGTCCATGAAAGCCCCTTTGGACCAAAACTAAACTCACTCTCCCCAAGAAAGGGAGACCAGCCTCCAGGCAGGCCAGGGGGCCAGGATGACAGGAAGCCATCCCAGGCATCCTTCCCCAGCCAGCTGGACTTGGACCGCAAGAGACACCCAAAATGGGGTGCACTGTCCCTCTGGATCCTGGCAGGGATGCTCGCAGGAGCATCACAGTGACATTTCCACCCAGCCACCAGCACCATTCCCATTCCAGGGATAGGGGAGCTGGGAGTCCTCCAGCCCCCACACCCAGATGAGACGCCCAGAGCCAGGCAGCCAACATTGCCCCACATTCCAACATCCCCCAATGCAGAAGGAAGATGTTCCCAAGCCTGCACCCCAGCACAGCTTGCAGTGCTGGGAGCGAGATAGGCAAAACACCCAGCGTTGCCCACGCCGGCCCCAGGGTGCTCCCAGCCAGGGCCACTGGATGGCCCAAGGGCCAGTGCTTCCCAATCCGCCCTCACCAGTGCCCATCACCTTCTTCCTGCTCGTCAGGAAGATCCTGCCGGGACAAGCATGCGGCAGCCACAACGGGCACCACCATGGCACTGTGCCACAGAGGCACTCATTGACTTGAGGAGGGGAGCAGTGGGTGATGGCAGGGCTGGAGCAGGGGTCAGCACTGTGGGAGACTCCAGGGAGCGGATTTGGGGATCTCAGAGGGATGGGGATCCGTGGCACCATCACCAAGGTGGGTTTGGAGAGGGTAAAGAAAACGAAGCACAGTGAGGTGTGAGCAGCTGCCGTTTAATGTGGGAAGGGATAGAGGGCAGCAGGGACGGGGAGCATCATGAGCCACCCACACCTGGCCCGAGCACCCCACTTGGGGAATGCCAAGTGGGGCCATGGGGCTGGGTGCACCCCACAGGACTGGGTTGGGTTGGGGAGTCTTCCCACTCTGTGCGGGTGCACAGCCCTGCTTCACTCCCTGACCGGTTCTCCCAGCCCAGCCACTGCCTTCCCACTCCCAGGATAATAATGCTCCCACCCCAGGGAGCTGCTGCGAAAATCCCATCAGTAGAGCCACTGCAAGCCCTAAAAGTAGGTCAGTCACAACACAGGGTACTGGCAGGAGAGAGCCTCTGCTGCCCCTCAAAACCCTGCTGGGGTTTGCAGAGCCACCATGTCCCCACGACCACCGGGACGGGTTTCCTGCCCCACCACCACCGCCACCCCGCCACGAGGGATGCATCCCAGGGGAGGTTTTACCCGTTGAGAGTCCTGTGCCACCCGCAGGACTGGCCCCGGGAGCTGCGTCACCACGCGGCACACCCCGATACCGGGAGATGCTCCAGGGAGGGGATCGGGTGGTGCCTCGGAGAAGATGCCGCGCTGGGTGCTGTGTGGGGAGCGGGACCCCCACCGAGGTGGGCAACCAGGGCAGGGTCTCCTTGTTCCCCGACTCCACTGAGATTAAAGAACCAGCTTCAATCCCCCGTGGAACAAAGGCAGCTCTGCCTGCCCGTCCTCACGGCAGCGCGGCTCCCCGCCAGTCCCCAGCCCGGCCAGGAGGGTCCCAGCTCCCTGGTGCAACTCGGCGGGTCCAGGCAGGCGCAGCGGCTCCTAGACATAGTTGCTGGTTGGCAGCGAGCGGGCGGCTGTGAACTTGGCAGAGTAGGGCTTCTCTCCACGGGGCGGGCAGGAGCAGCAGAGGATCCCCCCCCCCAGCAGCAGCAGCGCGGAGGCTGCCCAGCCCACGTAGAGGGACGACCCCAGGTCCCGCTTCTGTGAGTTGGTGACCAACGGGTTGTAGAAGTCCCGGATGATGCTGTTGGCTGACCAAGAGATGGGGATGAGGATGAGGATGCCGGATATGATGAAGATGATGCCAGAGAGGACCATGACCCTGGCTTTGGCGGTGTCGTCCTCCACGCAGTTGGTGCACTTGCCACCAGTGACGGCGAGCAGGGTGCCCAGAATGGCCAAGATGATAGACACCACCACCATGGCACGGGCAGCTTGCAGGTCCTGCGGCAGCGCCAGCATGGACTCATAGACCTTGCACTGCATCTGCCCCGTGCTCTGCACCACGCAGCTCATCCACAGCCCTTCCCAGATGATCTGCGCTACCACAATGTTGTTGCCGATGAAGGCCGTCTCCCGCCACATGGGCAGCGCGCAGCAGAGGATGGAGGCCAACCAGCCGATGACGGAGAGGGCAATGCCCAGCACCTGCAGCCCCATGGAGGCCATCGCTTGCTGCCTGCACCCCTGCCCGCCTCCTACAGCGCAGTGCCGGCTGTGGGACCACAGCAGGCATTATATGCCTTTGCCGAGGGAGGAGCACCACCACTGCCGCCGTCCTGCCGCCGGCACCGGACAGAGGGGTAAAACCAGTTTCCCAGGATTCCTCCGCTTGCATTTCTCCCTGCAGCAATGACACTTAATATCCCGGCTGCTCCCATGGAGGAGGATGCCAGGGACTGGGATCAGGCCACCCAGGCAGGGGAACATGTCCCACTGCTGCCCGCGGGTGGGCAGGAGATGCCAAGGGCAGCCACCAGGGCTCAGCCTGGGGTGCTGAAGGAGAAACGCTGGTGTCCAGGCACCAGGATGTCTCTGCCATCACTGCCAGCCCCTCCTGCCCCACCACTTGGATAGGGTCTCTTCATGCTTTTGTGCCTCAGTTTCCCCCCAGCTCGTGGGGCACCTGCTCCAGCAGCAATCCCATCTCCGGCCCCCCATGTCCCCGTGCTAGGAAGCAGCATGCTCTCCCGGCCCCACTGCCGGGCTCCATGCCCAGGCAGGACACAAGCAGCTCTTGTTTGTTGCTTGGCGTCTGCACCAGTGCTTCCCATCCCTCCGTCAGGCCTCGGGCAGGAGATGTCACCGCCCAGACCCACAAACCGGTTGGAGCAGCTGCGGGCTTCCCACAGAGGAGAGACAGCGCTGCCCGGGGCCATGGGGGGCCAGACCCCAAAACGCATCCTGCCTCATGCTGTGCTGCACACACCCACGGTGGCAGGGCTGCAGCACCCCTCTGCCTGCACTGCCTGGGCTGCCAGCCAGGCCTGAGGGTCAGGGCTGCAGGGGACAGAGGCGGCTTTAAGGTAGAATGGTCTGGTTTGGAAGGGACCTTAAAGCTCATCCAGTTCCAACCCCTGTCACAGGCAGGGACCCCTTCCACTGGAGCAGCTTGCTCCAAGCCCCTGTGTCCAGCCTTGCCTTGAACACTGCCAGGGATGGGGCACCCTGTTGTGTTGGTACATTTGGGTACAACCAGCCATACCCGCTGGCCAGGTTGTCCTGATGCCAACTCTGACACCAATACTGGTGCCAATGTTTCGGCACTGCCCAACCTCTCCTCCTTTAAACCATCCCACTGCACATCCCTGCCCTGCTCTCTCTGAAGCCCCTCCAGCACCAACATAAACACAGAATGAGGCTAGACACACTGCAAAGGCGGACATTGCACTGTTTCACCAGCCCAGCTTAACCCTGGCCTCTGGAAAAGATAAGAGGGCCTGAGATTATCTCAGTTCTCCTGAGCACTGGCGTTACTGATAGGATCCACTTGCCGTGCTATTTGCAGCTGCTGCTGCTCGAACCAGGATGTCCCTGGGCAATGTGCCCCAGCGGGATGAGCCAGGTGGTCCAGGCACTGCAGTGCTGTGAGGATGCCAGTGCCCAGTGCAGTGGGAGCAGGCATGGCAGAGCCCAGGCACTCGGGGACACTCGGGTCTCACTGCAGACCCTGACTCATGGGGACGAGGCAGGGTCCTGCCTGACCTGTGCGGGAGCAGCCACCCAGGCACCAGGCCACACTGGGATGCTCCATCCATCTGTCCTTCTGGAGCACCTGCATTGCTTGCATTCCAGCATTCCCACCCCAGGGCCAGAGCCTCCTGGTCAAGGGCTCCTTTTAATCTGCAGGCTCCAGCGGGGCCTGAGGCTGAGCATGGCTTTCACCTCCCATCACTGCCATAACCACCACGTTATTTGGGGCTGAAGAGGCACGCGCCCTCATGGTGGGTGTGTGTGCAGCGTGCATGGGCCATGTCCCCACAGGCACATGGGGACATGCCTCTGGGCTGGGGACAAATAGCAAGGTGGGGACAGGGACTTCCCCGCATGCAGGGCATCAAAGGTCTGAGCTGCTCCTGCTCCCTTTCAGAGCCAGGGCAGGCGCCAGCAGGGCCCTTCAACATCCCATTACTGTAATTAAAGCCAGAACGTGACATATATTCAAACTGGCGTCTGCCACCCAGAAATAGTCCCCACTCCTTTCCGCATGTCCCCTGGTGATGCACTCACCAGCCAGCACAGCTGGCCCCACGTCACCAGCAGGACAGATGGACGCAAGCCTGGAGGGGGACAGAGGCAACAGCCAACCCTTGGGGCAGCATCCCATGCCCAGCGCCAGCACCTTGTCCCCAGCACCCACCAAGCCAGAGGATGCAGCGCTGGTGGGACCAGGCACCACACAGCCACTGGGGCCATCACTGTGTGGGCACCAGCCCCACAGCCCCATCCCGGCTGCCTGTGCCTGGTGCATTGTGCAGGACATTCACCCCAGCTTTGTCCAGAGGCACCTACAAGGAGACACGGCACACGCATGTGTTCTGATGGAGTACAGCCCCCTGCTCAGAGGGGATCTCCTACACCCCAGAACGGAGTGCTCATCCCATACCAAGCCTTTGTGATACAGTGCCTGCCCCAGCACCCATCTGGTTGCCCACCCTGCCCCAAATCCAACAGGATTTGTAGGATGAAGGGGTTCCGAGCTCCCATCCCTTCTCCACTGCACACTAATGGGTTTAGTGACAACAGAGCTCCAGTCATGGCACATCAGCCACCAGCCCTTTGTGGCCAAGAAATGCCTTCCACTGATGGGCTCTGCTTCACTGGGATGGGGACGTGCTGCAGCCCCATGGCTGGGCAGGGACGCCATCCCCAGGCAGGGAGGTGGCATTAAACCCAGCATCACTGGGCGCACGGCACAGGCTGCACCACCCTGACCTTGCTCAGGGCAGAGGACACGCCACAGGGAATGGGTTCTGGGGCACATATCCTCTGCCAATAGGCTTGGGGACATCCCCACCCAGGACACAGGGGACGTTCCCACCTCACCCGTGCCCAGCTCTGGCTCAGACCCATGCTTTGCCCAGAGCCACTCACTCGCCAGCACCCACACATGGATTCTCTGCCCCGGCTACCTTGAGGTCCCGAAAAGGCGGCTGACGCTCACCAGCAGCAGTGATCCGCCAGGATCCTGGGTTTCACATCAGCCAAGTGAGGCACGGCCACCACCCCTCCCCCTCTGCCAGCAGCTGGGGATCAGTTACCTGCAGCCCGGAGCCTCAATGTTCCCAGAACATAGTCCTTGCCCAACACCCCCCCCCCGACCAGCTCAAATCTGTGGAGTCAGGTTGTTTCCCACTATGGGAAAGCAGAGTCTTATCGGCGGGGCAGGAGAGGAGCTGCGGGGTCCCTGGGAGGACGCTGCTGCAAGAGATGGGACCTTCAACCTGACGTCACTTCGAAAATCAGAGCCCAGCCCAATTTGCTGAGCAACAAGTGGCTCTGAATGGCAAAAATACACCCGAGTGCTGCCACGGTGGTTGTCAAAGGGGTGGGGGAGACAACGGCCATGGCTCAGGACAGGGGATGCGAGCGGTGCCATGCGGGTTCCCCTGCAGGCGATGCTCAGAAGAAGCAGGATGCTGTGGCAATGATCTGAAGCCATAGGGGTGCACAGGCCCCCGGCACACTGAGGTTCCAGGTAATCCAGCATATCATGGGCGAGTGGCCACCCCCCTGCCATATCCCGCCAGACCACAGCCCCCACCACCCTCAGCTCCATCCCCACCCCGCCAGCAGACAGAGCCACCATTGATGGTCGGAGTCTCCTTACCTGCTCCTCGCTGCCGCCAAAGGGGCTTCAACAATGGGCTCCTTGTGTGCCCTGGCCGGGGCAGAGCCAGCAGCCCCACGCCTGAAATATAAGCAGCCAAGGCAGCACTTACCGCCCCTGCCCTGCTCCCTGGGGGCAACATGCCGTCACTGCCCAGACCACAGGGGAGCGGGAACACCCCAAACTCTGTGCCGATTCTGGGTGCACGTGAGCGGGACGCAGCCCCACAGTGCCCGGGGCAGTTTCTGCTGTCACCTCCTGCTCATGCTGGGGTGCTGGGTACACGGTGGGGATGGGGGTGCCTGCACTGAGGTGTCTTCCCCCGCCAGTGCCTGTGTCCTTCCCACAGCACAGGTCCACCAAACCAGTGATGCTTCTGTGACCTTTGGGTCTGAGCTTCATCCATGAAGCTTCATCATGAGGGTCAAACCTGTTGTCATGCAGTCACCTCACCTTGTCCCCATGCTGGGGTACCTGTTGTGGGTGAAACTCCCCATCCCCTCCCAGCTGTGGGAGAAAAGCAGAGGGGCTTCACTGGGGCGGGGGATGCTGCAGCAGGAGGGATGGGGATGCTCCAGGACCCCCGCAGGGATGCTGGCCTCGCTCCATTGCTGTCGGTAAACACCGGCAGGCGGGTTTCCTCGCCACAGGAATGCGAGCTGAAGCGTGCCGGTGCTGACACCCCGAAAGAGGGTGATTGGCCCCTTCCTCAGCTGTGAGTCAGGTGACAGCCACTGCCCCCGGCAGCTGCAGTCTGTACTTTGGGCAATTTGGGATGCCAGAGCCAGGACGCGGCGTGTGGGGCTCTGATTGCAGGGTCGGGGGCTGCGGTGCTTCGCCCGCCCTTTCTCATCCCCTCCCTGCGCAAGTAGCCCCTATGCCAGGGGTATCCCCACTGCCCCATGCACCTGCCTGTGGTATTGCCCTCTTCCCCTGCTCCACAGCAGTACCCACTGGTATTGCCCCTGCCCCACAGCCCTGTCTGGGGTATCCCATTGCCCCACAGCCCTACCCGCAGTATCCCCCTGTACCACACACTCGTGCCTGAGACTGCCCTCCTCCCATTGCCCCCCAGCCCCTACAGCCGTGCATGTCCATGCAGCGGTTGGGTGCATGTGCTGGTGTACCGTGTGCGTGCCGGGGGGTGTGCGTGTGTACACTCGTACCGCTGCTGTGCGCCTGTTCACCTGTCTGTGTGTCTGTGTGCTGAGGTGTCCCTGCCGGCAGAGGGGGTGTGTGTGCGGGGGTGTGTGTGTGTGCGTGCGTGTGTGAGTGTGTGTGTGTGTGTGTGAATGTGTGTGTGTATGGGTGTGTGTCTGTGTGTGTGTGTGTATGGGTGTGTGTGTATGGGGGTGTGTGTATGTGTGTGTGTGTATGGGTGTGTGTCTGTGTGTGTGTGTATGGGTGTGTGTGTATGGGGGTGTGTGTATGTGTGTGTGTGTGTGTATGTGTGTGTGTGTGTGTGTATGTGTGTGTGTGTGTGTGTATGGGTGTGTATGTGTGTGTGTGAATGCGTGTATGTGGGTGTGTGTGTGTGTGTGAATGTGTGTGTGTGTTGTGAGCGTGTGTGTGTGCATGTGTATGTGTGTGTGTATGTGTGTGTGTGCATGCGTGTGTGTGTGTGTGTGTGTATGGAGGGGGGGGTGGATGCTGCACCTGTGCACAACTCACACCCCGGGCTGCTGCCCACACAGCTGCCTGCAGACCTGGTGGCCCTCAGCCACTCAGAGCACACTCAGTTTGGGGGGGATGGAGCTGATATATCCACCATCACCTGCTGGCAGCACCAGCATCATGGGCACCCCAAGATGCCCCCCGAGGGCCAGGACCCCCAGCACCCCCCGAATAACAAGGGCACAAGGCCCTTGGGTGCTGCTTGCATGGGCTCTGCTTCAGCAGCACATATGGGTACCCCCCCAGCCACCAGCCCTGGCTAGCTGGGGGGGGACTTCGGATGCCCTTGGGAGGTGATTAGGGTACAAACAGGTGGCAGAAGCCCACCTGGCCAGAAAAAGGGTGGTTTTGGGTTGCCATGGGCTGGCAGAGGCTAACCTGACTGGACATGGAGTCACAGGATGGTGTAAGTCAGATACAGGTTGCTGCAAGGGGATGAATACAGGGCGCTTGGGTGACATGGGGTGACAACAGCTGACCCAGCCAGATATGGGATTTTAAGGCTCTGTGGGGCATCCAAAGCCAAGCCCCCTGGCTGTGGAGTGCTGTGGGGTACAGATAAGCAGACGTGGGGCTCTCCCATCGGTGCCTGAGAAGAGAGGGCTGCCAGCATCCCACCATGCTCTTGAGTAGTTAATAAGTTGTAGGAGAGATTTTAGTGCAAGCAGGAGCAAGCCCACGTCCAGCAACCACATTCCTTGGGGGCAGGGAGTGTTGGGAATACCATCACTGCCACCAACACACAAGACTGGGGGGGGCCGTTGATGGGGGACACGCATGCTCCCCTGAGCCATAGTTGGAGTGTGACTGCGCAGCCTTGCCTGCACCTGCCCTGTGGGTTTTGATTCCCTTCCTGCTCAGGGTGACGCTGCCGGGGCAGTTACGTGCTTTATCAGCTTCCTTCAAGGCCATGAGATGTGAGCAGGATGAGTAAAGATGTTTATCATCTGCCTGGGGATTCCCATCAGCACTCCCTGCCAAGGCAGGGTGGGAGCTGGAGGGGGGCTGGACGGGGGGGACACCCTCCAGCTCCCACCCTGCCTTGACAAGAAGCACCCATGGGTGCTCCTGTCCTGAAAGGCAAAGAGGCTGCACTTTGCACAGCCATGCTGTTAAACGTGAGCGCTGATAAGAAAGCCCCAGAAATAAGCCAAACCATGACCCACCACTACCTCCCTGGGGAAGGGGGGAATGCCAAAGCTGAAGGATTTCCAGATCCCTAAGGAAGGGGTTTCAGAGGGTCAGAATGAGCAGTGCCATCGCCCTGAAACCACGGGGATAGCCGTGGCTGGTGGCGTCTCTGCCCCCCCCCGCCTTTCTCCAGTATAACCTGGCGCCATCTCTGCAAACAAAGGGGAGGGTGTGGGACACGCAGGTGATGGTGACGATGACGGAGAAGCAGGAGAGGAGCGTCCAGCAGTGAAACCCCACCCGGGGCGGGCGCTGGAGCTGGCCCCGCCAGCCCGTATAAGTGCAGGTGCACCCAGGTGAAAGCTGATCCCCCACCGCGAGCAGCAACCGGAGAGCAGTGCGGTTGCGGTCCGTGGGTTCTCCTCCGCCATCGTCCGGCGCACGGCAGCGAAACCAATCCACCATGTCGATGGCTTTGGAGATCAGCGGTGTGGCCTTGTCAGTGCTGGGTTGGTTGTGCAGCATCATCTGCTGCGCGCTGCCCATGTGGAGGGTGACGGCCTTCATCGGCAACAACATTGTGACGGCCCAGATCATCTGGGAAGGGCTGTGGATGAACTGCGTGGTGCAGAGCACGGGGCAGATGCAGTGCAAGGTCTACGACTCCATGCTCGCCCTGCCACAGGACCTGCAAGCCGCCCGCGCCCTCCTGGTGGTGGCCATCGTTTTGGCGGTCCTCGGTTTACTGGTGGCCATCGTGGGCGCCCAGTGCACCCGCTGCGTAGAAGACGAGAGCACCAAAGCCAAGATCACCATCGCCTCCGGTGTCATATTCATCCTCTCCGGCATCATGACTCTCATCCCTGCCTCCTGGTCGGCCAACACCATCATTCGGGATTTCTACAACCCGTTGGTGCTCGACGCGCAGAAGCGGGAGCTGGGCGCCTCGCTCTACGTGGGCTGGGCAGCCTCTGCCCTCCTGCTGCTGGGGGGGTCCCTGCTGTGCTGCTCCTGCCCCCCCAAAGACGACAGGTACACCACTGGCAAGGTGGCCTACTCCGCCCCGCGCTCCGCTGTCACCAGCTACGACAAGAGGAACTATGTCTGAGACCCCTCGGGACCCCTCTAAATTCCCCACCCCTCTCCCCGGGACCCTCATCACCCTCCGTGGGGACAGGAAACAGAGGCACGGGGGGGGGGGGGGGGCCCGAAGGCGGGGACGGGGACGGCCGCGGGGTCAGGGCCGGGCTGTGTAAATAGAGACGGTTTCGGTTAAACAAGAGGCAGTTTCGGGTTGGCCGGAAAAATGGCGCCCGGTGTGCCCCTGCCCACACCTACGGGACATGATAGGGACGGGGATAGGGATGGGAACGGTGCTCCCCCCCCCCTCCTTTGGTATCTCTCCCCCCTTCCTGCTGCCGTCCGGACACCGTTTGTCCCTGTTACGTGTTGTTCTGTACCGGTTACATTTGTCAATAAACGTGTTCTCTTTTGGTAGCCCGAGTATCCCTGGGGACTGAGGGGGCAAGATCCCACCTGGTGCGGGAGGGGGACCGGGATCCCGTCCCCCAGGAGCCACTCCGCACCCTCTGGCACCGCAGCTCCCCTGCGGCACCGGGTTTGGGGACGGGGCTTTCCTCCCGGCTCGGGGGTCTCTGCTCCCCCACGCCCGTTCGGGGCAGCTTTCCGGCAGCCATCGGGGCGGGAGGGGAACGGGCAGCGGCACTCCCTGCCTGCGCGGTCCAAAGTCTGGCAGCACAGACGGCACACGGGGTGCTCTCCCCTCCCCTCCAGGAGCCCCGGCGGGGCGAGGCCGCTTGTGTACAACCGCTCCCACCGCCCGGTCCGGCCGCGGCCCCGCAACGCTCCAGCGGGCAGGGACAAAGGGGAAGGAGAGACGCAGGTGCACGGGCAGGGCCAGGGCCCGAGCAGGCAGCGGGGCCCGGTACGCAGGCCCCGAGCGGCTGCCGCCGCCCGCCCTGCGCCCGCCCGGGGGCTCGGAGCGGCTCTCGGGGAAGCACTGCCCGCGGGCGCGGAGGGAAGATTTGCTGCCCCCGGCCCTGCACGGCCTCGCCGGCGGTAGCGAGCGGGAAAAGGCGGGAACAGGCAGGAGCGGGCAACGGTACCCGCGTCCCCTCCCCTGGGGGTCCCGCCCGGTTCCCGTTCGCGAGGCCCCCTCGCCCGCTGCCCGGCGGCAATGGGGATCGGCGGAGCGGGGTCACGGCGTGTGGAGCCCTCTCGCCACCAGGGGGCGCCCGGCGGCGGGGCGGGGCCACCCGCACGCACAGCGTCACGGCCTGCGCGCCGGCCGCCATGCTGCTCCGCAGGCTGCCGCGAGCTCCGGCCCCGCCGCGGCGGCTGCGGCCCCGCCCTCCTCCCGCCGCCGCCGCCGCCGCCGCCCGCTCCGTGGTGACGTAAGCGCCCGGTCGCGCGCGGGGCAGGGGACTGGGAGGGCTCTGGAGGGGCGAGGCCGAACTCACCAGGGATGGGCCCCGCCCCCCGCGCAGGGCCGGGGCTCCCGCGTGGCGCCGTGGCTCCGGGCCAGCCCCCAGCGCGCTCTCCCCGCAGCTCCGTGCCGCTGTCCCACGGGGAGGAGCGGGGCCGCGCGGACCGGGCGCCCCTCGTGCTGCTCCACGGGCTCTTCGGCAGCCGCGCCAACCTGCACGCGGTGGCCAAGGCGCTGGTGCGCGGCGGCAGCGGCACGGTGAGGAGGGGGCCGCGCTGGGCGGTGCGCGGGGGTGGCGCGGTGACAGCGGTGACCGTGCCCCTGCCCAGGCAGGTGCTGACGCTGGACGCCCGGAACCACGGCAGCAGCCCCCACAGCCCGCTGATGACCTATGAAGCGATGAGCCTGGACGTGCAGCACCTCCTGACTCGCCTGGGCATCACCAAGTGCATCCTGCTGGGACACAGCATGGGGGGCAAGACGGCCATGACCCTGGCCTTGCAGCGGGTCGGCAGGAGCAGGGCGCCCGGGGCTGGGGACAGCGGGGCTGGGGGCTGTAGGAAGGGGGGCTGGCAGCGGGGGGGGGGGGCTCTACTTGTCCACAGAGGCAGTTTTTCTCTGTCAGGGTCAGGGTGCTGTCCTGCTCAGAGCTGTAAGCCCGGCTGCAGGAGCTTGGAGATCCCCCACGCTGAGACACAGGGAATCAGGGAAGGGCATGCGGAGCTCTCTGCCAAGGCAGGAGGGAGCTAAGAGCCTCCCCTGAGTCAGGCTGGGAGCAGAGCCCTGTGCCCCATCCCACTGGGGAGCTCCCAGCTGGCACCTATCTGCCCTGCTTGTGTCCCCAGCCAGACCTGGTGGAGCGCTTCATCTCTGTCGACATTGGTCCCACCTCAACCGCACTCGTCTCTGAGTTCTCTGCCTACATCTCTGCCATGAAGTCAGTGAAGATCCCAGATGGTCTGTCCCGCTCTGCAGCCCGCCAGCTGGCTGACCATCACCTGCGTCCAGTGGTCCAGGTAGGAAATCCTATTCCATGGATGGGGTTTCTACTCCCAGCCCATCTCTGGGGCCAGAGCACAAGGCTTTAGGGCCACAAGACTCCATCATAGAATAGTTCGGGTTGGAAAGGACCTTAAGATCATCCAGTTCCAATGCCCCTGCCATGGGCAGGGACACCTCACACTAAACCATGTCACCCAAGGCTCTGATAGAATCATAGAATCATGACAGAATCATGGGCAGCTGGAGGACATCTTACCAGGGCTGTGGGGCCACAGGGGAATGACAGCATGGGAGAAGGCAGTGGAGGGCAGGATGGAGGGTGGCAGAACAGCTTGAGGGCTTTTTTCTTTCACTGGAGAGTGTGTGATCCCTTTCTGTGGCAGCATGCGCAGCTGAGGCAGTTCTTGCTCACCAACCTGGTAGAGGAGGAGGGCCACTATGTCTGGCGGGTGAACCTGGATGCTATTTCCCAGCACATGGTAGATATCATGAATTTCCCCATCTTCCACAAGCCGTATCCTGGCCCTGCACTCTTCCTGGGAGGATCTGAGTCACGTTATATCAGGTGAGGCTGGAGAGAAGCAGTTTGAGGTCAGTGGTTCCACGCTGTGTGCTCTTCTGCAGCTGCCAAGGGCGGGAGAAAGCCCCTGAGATGGGGAAGGTTCTGGAGTGAGCTCTGTGCCTCCAGCAGCCAGTGACAACAGAAATGCACTGGAGAGTGAGAGGGAACCTGAGGGCAGCTCCAGGCTTTCCCGGCACAGAGTGGGACATGGTCAGACCTGGGACCGCTCTGCCTAGGGAGGGGAAGGGCAGATACCTGGGTGGGCTGCTCACCACACTTCCCATGGGATGTTCTCTTGTCTTGCAGGTCCCAAGACTACCCAGAGATCCAGCGCCTCTTCCCCAAAGCTGATATCCAGTACATTGCAGGGGCAGGCCACATAGTCCATCAGGATAAATTTGGGGAATTCATCACTGCTGTCCTCAATTTCCTGCCACCACCGTAGCGCTGGGACCAGATTCCTGCAAGCCCCATGTGGGTCCTGAGATGCTCCAGGCAGTGCTGCAGGGCTCTGGGCTCTGCGAGGAGGGATTCAGCCTGTGCTGGCTGCCCACCTGCAGCCCAGTCCTTTGCCTGAACTTGGAACAGAGAGGCACATCCATGCCACTGAGCTCTCCTGTCACCTTGCAGGGACAGGGGGTGACACAGGCCAGGGACACTGCCCTGCCTGCGCAGCTTGTCCTGTCTGCACTGGCTTCACTGGGGTACCTCAAGCACTGGGCAGGGGCAGGAGAACCCTCTTGTACTGCTGCCAGACCACTGGTGATCTGGCTGTTGACTTTGCAGAACATGCAATAAAGCTGAATCCGTGCCAAGGCAGAAAATGGTTTGGATCTGGCTGTGGAAGAGGGGGAGTATTTGGTGGGCACAGGAAGTGGCTCTTGTGTCCCAGCAAGATGGGGTGATGCTTCTGGGAGATGACAGCTGGGCTGGGCCTGTAACACCACAAGCTGTGGGAGCAGCACGTGTAAGACATGAGTTTGAGGGTTTCTTGCCTTCCAGGGGGAATTGCATCCTCCCTCCTCATGGGAGTAGCGGGAGGATGGAGGAGTGGGGGAAGCTGCCTCCTGAGCAGGGAGATGCTGTGAGCCTGCAATGGGGAAGCATGAAAATTCCCCTGGAGCACATCTGCCTCCCTGAGCTCCCTCCGATTTCCCACCTCCTGCTTGCTCTGTGTTCCCAGGAAGGCAACATAAAAGCAGCCACTGCTGGCCAGAACAATCATCCACCGCGGGCTGTAGGCAGCAGTGCAGAGCCAACTGCTGTGAAACCCCTTTGTTAGGTGATGGGGCAGAGGCAGCTCCGGGGATGATGGGTCATCTCTGTTGGAACTGGGGACAGGCTTTGGGGCCAGTTAAGGGAAACACTGACCAGCCTTGTGTTCAGTGCTCCACAGCCAGGTGTCTGATGCTCCCTGCTTAGTTTGGAGGCCACAAAAGGAAGGGAGGATGGGAGACCAATGATGATTTTATTCCAGGTCTGTTTGCAATTGCCTAGCAAAGGGGCACGAGTAGCTGGTTTAGAGATTTCCTCTTTCTGGACTTTCCCTCTGGTCCTTCCTTTTCTGAAGAAGTGCCTCTCTGGAGCAGAGCCTTGAGCTCTCTGCTGTTACCTCCAAGTTCAAACACTTGCTGTCCGTGTATTGATTTTTCACCTGTGAAGAACATTAGACTGAGAAAGCTCCTGAGACACAGGCTAACGTAAGGAATTCCTTCAGAACTCCTCTCCTATGGCCAGCTGGGAGATGGGGATGGAGTCAGGCTGCTGCCTGGCCCCAGCTACTGGCACACAAATCCTTTGGGTATCCAGCCATGAGCTCTGGAGCCCAGGAGCAATGGGGAATTCCTCCCCCTCCTCCATGCTGGCTGGGTACTGGGTGTGGGGCACACTCAAAAGAGTGCCACAGATGTGTGAGGTGAAGAGACTCACCATAGTCAGGAGATCAGTGGCCTGGGAAGAGGTAAAACTTCCTGAGCATTGTAGTTCGCTCTTTCGCTGGCAACTGCCGAGGGAATTTTCCAAAGGAATATTGGACCTGGGATGAGAATGACAGTGGGAAGAAATGAGAGAAGGTCTGTTCCAGGCATGGGATGCGTGAAGGGTGTCAGGAGGCACCTCCAGGAACATGTGTGGTGGTTCAAGGGATGCCAAGGGCTGCACCAGCACACAAGGCTCATGCGTTCCCACCATGGGGCAGATGCTGATGCCTCCAGAGATCCAGCTGACTTTCCTGGCCAAACCAGACATGCTGTGGACAGAGCCTGTTCCCCAGGGCCGAGGAATGGCCTGGCCTGAGCTCTGCTCCCAGCAGCATTCCTGGTGGCTGGCACAGCTGCATGTGCCAGCACTCCTGCAGTTACCTCACCTTTCGGAATAGCTCCTCCACGTCGCTGTTATAGGCATGGTTTCGGAACTGCTCTATCAGGTGCTGGATGAAAATGGACCCTGTTAATGATCTCCAGGAGACAGTATCTAGGGAGACAGGAGATGCCCAAGTGTGACTTCACTGGTATCTCTTGCTGCAACCGTGATTATCATTGGGAGCCAGAGCAGGAGACAGGTGCCTTCTCCAAGATCATTATATTTGGCTCACCCAACCCACAGCATGGAAAAGGACAGGGCAGCCCAGGGAAGACAGAATGATGTATTTTCTTCCAGCCTCTGCCCTCCCATACTCCCAGCCGCACCAGCTGCTCAGCTGGGATGGCCTGGAGCCATCTGTTAACCACCAGGAGCAGACAGTTTCCCCTGGGCAGCCACTGTGGTAAGATCAATCAGCTGGGGAAGGAGCAGAGCTGATGGGGAGGGATGGAGCCAGGGCAAGTGAAGGCAGGCAGGGCACAAAGCTCTGGCCCTGGTGGCTCTAAGAGGGATCTTTGGGTGTCCTGGAGCAGCTGCATACCCCAGCACTGGAGGACACTGCCCTCTCCAGAGGCTGTTGGAGCATGCCCAAGCAGTCACTGGATGGAGGCCCAAGGAGGAAGACATGTGGAGGAGACCCATGGCATCAGGAGTAGGAATCCCCACTTCCCTCGCCTGTCCCGAGGCAGGGCACCAGGAGCTGCTCACCAGGTGTGGAGGAATGTAAAGTGGCAAAATCACTCTCCAGGTGGACTTCACAGGTGGCGTCATCCTCCAGTGCCACAAGGGCGGTGTGAGCAGAGCTGGAGGCAGGCACAGAGAGGTCTGCAGCATCACTCACCAGCACAGAGCCTGCCTTGCCTGGGAAGGTAGGGCCAGATATCAGCAATGATGGGGTGTCCCGGCCCTGTCCCCTTCTCGGGGCTCACATGGTGGCACCTTGTGGTGGGGACTCACCTCCACGGCAGGACTGGATGATGACCACTTTGGGTTTGCCCAGCAGCGCCTGGCAGTGCTGGTTGTTGAACTTCTCATAGATGGTACTGAGGGAGAGGATGTCTGTGGCCTCGTCCCTGCTCTTGGTCCCACAGATCCCAGCCTTGACCCCATGGGACATGAAGACCAGGAAGGTGCTGTCAGAGGTGTGGTGCTCTTTGCAACTTGCAAAATCAGTCATGATGGTAGCCATCTCCTACAAACCAGCACAAGGAAGGAACGTCAGGAGAGCCAGCCATCAGCTCTGGGCAGGAGCCACTGCCACCAGGTCCCCATGTGCCCCAGCACCAGCACACCCAAGGAGGGTCCCTGGGCCACTCCTGGGGCCAGTGGCAGCTGCTTTGTGCAGCCCTTTACCTCGGAAGATAAGTTGCGGTGGACGTCCACCACGTAGCCCAGCCCTTCGAGCAGCTTTGTCATCCCCTGCACATCCACTTCAGCCCCATCCCGCCGGCGCAGGTGCTCAAACTCAATGTTGCAGATGAGCAGGGCCCTGCGGGTTCGCACCTCCAGCGGCAGATAGAGGGGATAGATCTGTGGGAATGGAGGGAGGTGGCACTCAGCAGCAGGTGGGTGGGTGCAGGGGGCTTTCCTTGAGAGGCAGCTAAAGCAGAGAAGGTCCAGTGCTGCAGCATCCACGTCTCCCCATCCCTGGGGCATCTCCCCACATCTCCTGCCCTGCTCCTGAGTCAGCAGAGACCCTGGCTCCTCTCGGTAAGCCCTTGCTTACTCCAGCAGGATGGCTGGGCCCCCCTCCAGCACTCATCTCATCTCCTCTGCCCACAGCACCTGGTCTCCCTCTCTGGCCCTGATGTGCTGGTACTCGCTTAGGGAACACTGCCGGATCCACTGCTGGCCCTGGATGGCAATGAGGGGGCTGGTGGAAGCCAGGTGCGCACTGGAGGGCCCTGCAAACAAAAAGCCCTCCAGTTACACTGGGAAGAGCCTGCAGCAAGAGGGGCCTGTGCCAGGCCATGCACAGGCAAGCAGAGCCAGGCACTGCCCCCTGGGGGTCCTTTTCAGCCCCACTGGGGATGGCCACCCCTGACAGCCCTGTCCTGACTGCAGGCAAGGGGACTCAGTGCCACAGAGCAGTGACACTGGGGGTGCGCAGGTGCCCCTTGTCTTCAGGCCTTGGACACTCGCCAGGGCCAGGCCTCCTCCAGCATCCTGCTGGAGGCAATGGGAGCCCCAGCATGGTCAGAGACAGACCACGGCCCCTCAACACTCACCCACACCAGTGGCCAGTTCCAGCTGCTCTGCCAAGGCACCATCACGCTTCCAGAGGCTGTCGATGAAGATCTGGCTTGCACGGGGGCCCTTCAGGCGCACGCAGTCGATGAGGCAGCGGGCCTTGTCTGTGCGCACCGTGTACCTCTCCTGCACTTCCTCCACCTCCTCTTGGTTCAGCACGCCCCGGGCCATCAGCTCATCCAGCAGCCCGGAGATGAGCGGCTTGCTCGCACGCCCCACGAAGGCCAGCCGCATGTTCTCGAGCACCTTGTCTGCTGGGTGGACCCATCAGCGCCCAGAGCCCCCCACAAACCCTCCCAGTGCCCGCTGCCCTGCCGCCTGCTGGGGGTGCTTCATCTTCCCTATTGCCCCTCCCAGGTGCTGATCCCCTCCTCAGCACCCCTCCTGCTGCCCCCCTTTCCCCATTGCCTCCCCCAGGGGCTGCTCCCTCCCAGCTGCTGATCCCTCCCCTGCCATTGCCCTGGGTGATTCCCCTCCTTCCCCTGCCATCTCCCATCTCCCTCTTTTCCCACACACCCACAGAAAGCTCCTCGGGGGGTATTTGCTACTCGGGGATGCCATGTGCCGGACTTCAGCCTATGCACCATGCTGTGTGTATGTGCATTGGGCCAGCCTGGGTGAGAAGGTGATGAGCAGCACCCTGGCAGTGCTCGGTCAGGACCCCATCCCACCACCAGCTGCAGCACCGGTGGTCGCACCCACCTGCCATCACCCCCAGACAGGAGAAGCTGCCCCGGCTTCTTTAAGGAAGACTTGGAAGGAGTCCGTTTCTGCTGGGGTGGGGAGGGAGAAAAGTGAAAGCAAAAGTCCAGAGCTTCACTTCCCGTTTCCTTGCGGCTGGGGCCTTGCCCCTGGGCTGCCACCATATCCCACCAAGCCCCTGTAGCCCTGTGAGCCCACTGTGCCTGGGGCCAGAGCCCCCCTGTCCTTTGCAGCCACGCTCAGACCTCCTCCCAGGGTGCTCAGCTCACACTGGGGCACCCAAACAGTGACTGTCCCCAGCCCAGCAGCACCCAGCTCCTGCAGGGCAAGGAGGGGGCTCCCAGCCCTCATGCACCCCTCAGAGCCAGGCACGGTGCAGCTCCACTCGCAGCCCACAGTCCCAGACCCGAGCAGAGGTGGCCAAGGTCGAACATCCCCTTCATCCTCACCAGGCCTCTCTGAGGCTAAGCTTGGCTCATCCTTTCCTCTTGCCCTGTCTAGGCACTGGTGGCAACACCCCACCTTGGGCAGCAGAGTCCGGGTCCACCCTCCAGCCCTGTCCCCACACAGGCTGCCTACCCAAACCCTAACATCTGAACTATGAACGCCTGCGGTTGCCCCATAGCTGTATGAGCAGGGCTGTGCGAGCAGGGCTGAGCGTGGGGTGAGGCCTGGGTGGGAACGAGAGAGTAACACCCGCGACAGTGAGCCGCAGGGACGAGCAGCTGGGACACGCGGAAGGGGGGCGAGTGGCAGCCGGCCATGGCTGAACGCAAGGCTCCTGCGGTGCACCCCGCGGGACGCCGCGGCCTGTGCGGGGACCGGGCTCCCCGGGCTGCCAGTGAAGCGCAACCGGCCGCCGCTGGGGACCGGGCTCCCCGGGCTGCCAGGGAAGCGCAACCGGCCGCCGCTGGGGACCGGGACCGAGGCCGCGCCCCGCCGAGACCGGTTCCTGCCGCCCGCGGGCCCGGACGGCGGCGCAGGGGTGGCTGCGGGTGCCGATCCGGTCACGTGGTGGTCATTTTACCCCGGGTTATTGTCGCCCACCCTTTTCTGACGAGAACGGAGAAGCGGCCGCCGATTGGCTGCGGCGGGACGCGCTGTGATTTCTCATTGGGCTCCGGGCGCCGCGTCCCGCCCCGCGCCGCGCCGCGCGTAGCGCCGGGTCACGGGATAGGCTTACGGGAGTGCCCTGTCTGCCCGAGGCTCTGGGCGGGGACGCGTTCTCTATGTTCATTGGCCTGCGGTGCCGGCGGCGCCGGGCGCTGATTGGTTGCGCCGCGCGGGTCGGTGGGAGGGGGGGAAGGCGCGGATCTGCACGCGGTAGAGGCGGGAGTGGCGCGGCCGCAGCCAGGTGAGACCCTGCCGGTGCCCCCTCCCGTCCGCCCCGCCCCCGCCCCCCCTCCCCGCTCCCCGTCCCCCCGCCGGTCCCCGGCCCCGAACTCCTCTTCTGCCCCTGCCCGACCCTGCTTGCGCACCCCTTAGGCTTCTCCCGCCGCCCGGCCGGGCTGGGCCCCGCTCCTCCCCGTCGCCGCCCGGTGACCGGGGACTCCCGGGGTCTGTCTGCACGGGGCGGCTGCCGGCCCGGTGGCGGCACCGCTCAGCCGGCGGCCTCAGCCCGCAGCCTTACCCCGGTTGCGCGGGCGGTGGCTGAGGGCCCGCGCCGGCCTGCACTGCCCCCCGCTGCGGAGCGGGGTGGCCGGTGACGGCCCCGAGGTGTTTCCTGGGGGTATGGGCTGGATCGCGTTAAAGAGAAGGAACGGGCCTCGGAGCTTCCGCCGGCCAGGCCGGAGCGGAGGCAGCCTGCCCGCTGGGCCTTCCCCCGCTGTACCGGGAACTGCAGTGGGCGTCCCCTGGGCCCGGTAAACGGTGCCCGCCGGCGGGACACCCGGGCGCGGCGGGGAGCTGCGGGCCCGGCTCGCCTCTCCTGGCCGCGGGAGGGGAGCTGCGGCGGCCCGCACGCCCCTTCTGCCAAGGGCCACCTAGGCTGGGCTGCGGAGACCCCGCCGGGGACTGCCGGGGCCTCCCGCCAGTACTCGTTCCCCCGCCCTAGGCCAGGCACCGGTGACGCCAGGGAGGGTGCCTCCCCTGCGCCGCGGCTCAGAGTCGTCCCTGCGGCACCTCGGAACTGCAGGTGGCTGGGGTCGGTGGTTGGTGTATGGAGACTGTGTTGCAGCTTTGACGTTTATTTACAATAACCCTCGGCACCCACGTGTTGTGCACACCGGTTCCCTAAAGCAGCAGCTACAATGCCTTTGGCTTTTCCTGCTGAGTTAAGTGCAAGGGGATGAGCTCAAGATAACCCCTGTCATGTTGGTAGCTCCCAGGATATTTTGGGGGACATGATGTTAATGGTCTCACAAAGATCCTACCACTGATCTTGTCAATGACCCAGAGAAAGTTTGCAGCCAGAAGTTGATGAAGTGCAGAAGCAGCCCATAGTGCTGTGTGGAAAACTGGAGATGAGGCTGCGATATTGTGGTCTGGTTAGTTTGGCCTTGTACTTCTGGTGAGGCCACACATCTATCAGAGAAAGCAAACTGCTCAGGAGCAGTCTGTTATGTGAACAGGGAAACAAGGAAGAAGGGTGTGAGGTCTGTCCTAGGTGGGTTTTGCCTGGTTTCATGAATATGTTGAACAGAAGAAGCAGGGCTGGAGGCAAGCAGGAGAAGTTGGTCTCTGGTACCTCCCTGAGGAGGAGGAGGTACCGGTTAGCTGAGCTCCCGCGCTAGTGCCTCTGCGTGATGTGAAGATTGTTTGAAAGCTGGGCAGTTCAGAGGCATTGTACGAGGGTGGGATTCAAGGTGCAAAAAGCTGCCTTGTGGTGAGCAGAGCTCCATCCTGCGGGAAGCCTAGAGGGGATTTGTCAGTCTGCCTGTACCTGGGGAGGGCAGAGGCTGCACTGTGGGCACTCATGCGGTGGGTGATGGTGTGCAGGTGTGCACCTCAAAACCAGAGCCTGTATTTGGAGTGATAACGATTCAAGCATGAGAACAAACCTCCCCGAGTCAGCCATGACTCTGCATTAGCTGCCAACTTTAACATGAAGTCTCAATGCTTTTCTTTTTTCAGTAAAAGCAAGGGCAAGTGCTGCTGCTCAGCTGCCAGCTAGGGGAGCTGTGTAGGAACAGCTTGAGAGCTTGCAGGGTACCATGGCACCTTTCAGGATGCTCACTGGAAGAGGAATATGCCAGGAAATGGGGACTAGGAAATAAATGTTAAAGTTTTACTTATAGCTGTTGATTTCTAGGAGCACATGGATCCACCTTCCCTTTGCTGCATTCACAGGAGGGTGTTCACGCTGGCAGTGACAGAGAGCTGATATTTTCTGAGTGAGCCTGAAAAGGAACATTTCCTCGGAGGTATCATTGCTGTTGGCTTTGTGGCAGTGCCCTTCTGGGCCTCACTGGGCTGTCTGGCCATCAGAGTCACTTGGACCTCTCTGGAGCAAGCTAAAAGGGAAAAAAGCCAGACTCAAGGGAAGCTTTGGGACTGTATTTTACCATGGTACAGCAGCTTTGGAGAATGCTGCTGTGCAGCTGTTGCTCTATCTGAATCTACCAGGAGATGCATTGCCTTGCTTTTGCCTTTGGTTCATGTGGGGTTTTCAGCGCCGTCCTTGTCCTGGCTCTGGTGGGAGCAGAGGCGGTGGGTGCAGTGGCTCCCCCTCCCATGGCCTGCAGCTGGCTGAGCATTGCTCACCTGGAGGCAGCACAAGGCCTCCCTCACGCTTGTGAGGATTGTGCCAGGAGCTGGGCCACCTCCTCGAGATGTCGCTTTAGTCTGTGCTGGTGGGGACGCAGCTGTTGCTGCTCCTGCTCTGTATCCTCAGCTTGGCTTTGGAGACCGCTGTCATCTGCAGGAGACAGTTGTTTCACAGGAGGCTGGAGAGAAAATGAGATTGTTTCTTGGGGATTATGTGGTTGTGTTGGAAAGGACTGAGCTTTGTTTTACATGCAAATCAAGCTATATAATCTAACCCCAATTATTTCTATCAGGACAAAATGTGAACAGGAGGAAAAAAAAAATCAGTGATGCATAGCTGCTCGTCATGCTCAGCTTCCCAGGACAGGAAAGTTCCCTCAGGAATTAATAACTAGCAGGCAATTATGGAAGCAATTTCTCTTCCATCCTTGCTTGTCCACTCCCCAAGGCAGCTCCATCCAGCCATGGTTCTCTGCTGGTTGGTGTGTTCCTGGATCTCTGTGCCAGCTCTTTATCATGAGACTCCCTATTGCTGCTCACAGGAAAATGCCAACATTTGCAGAAGTAGACTGGAGTCCTTTTTAGAGATTGATGAATGGAGAAGAAAGCTGTTTAAAAAATTACTTTGCTCTTGGCAAATTACCATAACAGATTAATCCCTGCTCATAATCCCTGGCTTGCTCTCCAGGAAGATGCCTGCACTGCTATGGAGCAGGGAGGAATTTTTGTCCCAGTGCTTTGGGTAAGCTCCTCGCCGATGTCATTGCTTCCCTTCTGTTCCTCCCTCACAGTCCTGCAGAGACTGTGCAGTTACACAAGGATAGGATTTCCCTTGGGAGGAATCAGATAATTGGCTTATAAATAGTAAATGCTTCTTCAGGCCTACTTCTGAGTACATGTTGGTTGGTTGCTGTGTTTGGTTGCTGTCTTGCTCTCTGCCTTTGCAACAAGTACAACTGCACCTGCACCTCGCAGCCCAGAACCCAATTCAAGGAAATCATGTGTGTTTCCCACCAGAGAGGGGGAATTCTGGTGAGGAAGGAAGCGCCCTGGTGCAAGGTGCTGCAGCTTTGGAGCCAGAGCTTCAGACCTTGCAATGGATTTGCACAGCTCCGGCATCTGTAACACGCTGTGCTGCTGTGTGTGCTGGAGCGGTGCCTGGTTCCCTGTCTGTGTAGGAAAATCAGCTCTTTTAACTGGGAATGTGAGCAGAAATGAAACTGAATCACATTCAGTGGTTAAATCCTGTTTGAAATGAGCCTGTTTATGTAGAATCATAGAATAGTTTGGGTTAGAAGGGACCTTTTTAAAGATCATCCAGTTCCAATCCCCTGCCAAGGGCAGGGACCCCTTCCACTGGAGCAGCTTGCTCCAAGCCCCTGTGTCCAACCTGGCCTTGAGCACTGCCAGGGATGGGGCAGCCACAGCTTCTCTGGGCACCCTGTGCCAGCGCCTCAGCACCCTCACAGGGAAGAGCTTCTGCCTAAGAGCTCAGCTCAGTCTCCCCTCTGGCAGGTTCAAGCCATTCCCCCTTGG